TAATAATAATGAAAGAATCCAGTATCACTTGCCCACACTGCTCCCACCTTGAATCCTACTCATTCCCATGGAAAGACCATTGCTGCGAAGTCAGAAATAATCTTGCACATTTCTATATATTTTAATGGTACTATACATCGCCTGATGTCTCATGGCATGAAAGAAAGAACTGCTAACAAAAGCAGCGGATTCCTATACAAAACGCAGAACAAACAACCTTTTATTCTAACTCTCATTTATGATGCTATGTCATCATAGCCATTCTTAGTAGAATGTTATCACTTGGCACAATCATCATGATCAGGAGCACTGGAACTACTAGGAGAAGGTGATGCTTTGTCTGTTGGAAGGTAAGACCACACCAAGGCCGCTGTGCCAAGAGTAATTGCAGTAGCAATTGAACCCCAAACCCATCTTTGCCTTCGTTTCATCTTATGCCTATCACGCCGTGCCATCTCTATTCAAAGAAAAGACAATTTCCCAAAATCAGAAGAGCCCATTCAGATAGGCTGATATTGAGAAAGAACCAGCAGGAAATTATTACAAGCAGAGACAACAAAGCACCAGCATTTAAAGAATAAACAACAATGGTTGGTCTTGACACAAAGTAAACAACAATGGTTGGTCTTGACACAAAGTAAACAACAATGATTGGTCTTGACACAAAATAAACTCAAGCAGTTACTAGTGGAGATTTTCTCAAAAGGACATAACAAATTACATTGTTTCCTAAAATAGCTTCCTCAAAACCATCAGCTATCCAGGAAACAAGCAATTATGTAACGAATGGAAAGAAAACACTTTTCATTTTCTCATGACAAATTTTTTGTAGAATATAACCCAAATCATGACCGACCCTGTTCTCTTGTGCGTGCGTGCGTGCGTGCGTGTGTGTGTGTGTGTGTGAGAGAGAGAGAGGGAGAGAGAGAGAGAGAGAGGGCCAACAAAAAGGAAAAAGAATTCAGGGTACAAAAATCTAACCTACAGCTTCTTGGTTCCTCTGGGACATTTCTCGATTAACAGCCTCATAGTAATGTAATCGGTCCATCAAACGGGCTATCTCAAAGTTCTTTATTTCAATCTGAGATTCCATCTCCACCTCCATCTCAGTCCTTGCAATGCCCCTTCCTACAGAATATGATACGTATCGAACAGTATCCATTTGTCCAAGTAGT